ACCAATGAGAGAAATGTATGCGATATTTGTGTAAAATATCACATTCGAAAGTCATCTTTTGATTCGAATTTCTGTGCGTTTTTACTGTAATAATACATACAAATAAGCAATAATACGGTAATCGAAACAAACGTAGCCTTCATTGTGCCAGATCCCGTTGTTGGCGTATTCAATTTTTCTTTCCTAAGTTGTTCTTGTCTTAATTTTGTTCGGTGATTTCGATCAAGTGTATCCGAGTAGTGTGCTTTAGTCCATTCGTCAAAATTATAAATCGACCCTGACTTCTTGACCGTTTGTGGATGTTCGTAACCTTGTGCGTGTTCTGCTCTCAACTGTCCTTCACCGATAAGTTCTCGATCATATTGCTTTCTCGATTCTTGATTTCCAAGTACGTTGTAAGCCTCAGTGATATTTTGAAACTTTTCGTGAGATTCAGCGCTTCCCTTGTGTTTGTCCGGGTGGTGGGTGATGGAGAGCTTGTAAAATGCGTTTTTAATCTGTGCCTGGGTGGCTTTAGGTGAAACGCCGAGCACTTTGTAGAAGTTTTTCGTCCTGGTCTTTGCTCCTGTGCTGTAGAATTTCACATCTCTATCGGGGTGTATCAATTTTAAAGCAAATTTATGAACGCCAAAAATCGAAGATGATCTCAGAAAGCCGTGAAAAGATGTTTTACGAAACTGACTGTACTTTAAACCAGTCCATCGCGGGGACGATGAGCTCTGGATCAACAATCTGACCACACAATTCATAACGAAGTGGCCGGCATTTACTCAGTGACCGCCATTGCTTTCTTGCGTAACATAATTTAGTAGTATATGAAGGTGTTCTTGAACATGAAGTATCAAGTTCTGTCACGCACAGTTGCTGCTATGAAACACCGTGGACGTAGATTTAAAGCGCGGATCCGCTGATATCATAAGATTACTTTTCCAACATGGCGTCCGGAAGGCGACCCGAACATCAAGCACCACCAGAAGTGGTAAGAATTTTGTAATGCTGTCCACTTCTTTTAAGTATTTTATCTAGAATAAAGGAATTTGGTCCTCAATCATCTTTTTGCCTTTTTCTCCAGTTTTACAATGACGATGAAGCCCGCAAATACACATCAAAGTGAGTGGAGTCTTTTATTTACTAACACGTAGCACGTGTGTTCATTTGCAACCGGGGGTTGAATCTATCAGTCTTCAATTTCTGGGGTGATCATCGCGCTATGTGGGTTTTTTAATTCTAGATAACGACCGTGGGAGCTAGTATGGCACCTTTAGGGTAAACTTACATGTGTCTTATGATATAACTAGCTCAGTAAACTCTTTAAACCCAAACAACCCAAATAGAAGTCATCTTCAGAGTCAAGTGAATGGTTGTGGTTAGTCAGATGTTCTAAATCTGGTTCATATAAACTGATTGATCAGTCTTGCCGTGATGTTATTGGATGATGTTGTCTTTGACGTTTGTCAGTGTAGTGATGCACGACCAATCTCGACTGACTTTCACTACTTGAGTGTTACAGCCAATAGCACCAAGCAAGGCCGACCAATCAGTTTATTCGAATGGGAGTTAGAACATTTGACTGACCACAAGCATTCACGTCATTCCAATGATGACTTCCACTCAGGACTACCAACACCAGTCCTTCTCCTGACCACATTCACCTGGAGGATCAGACTACACTATCAAATGTTAACCCCAGGTTCAAACTATTTACTGTAATCTCAACATAGTCTTGATGTCATACCTATCAAGTGGGAGAGTGTTATTGTCAGTATAATATTTTACTTCATCACTGTCAAGTCCCATAATACATGTACATGTATTTAATATGGAAAATTATCATACTTTGTAATTTCAGCACAAGAATGATTGAGATTCAAGTCCAACTTTCTCAGAGGGCAATAGAGCTGTTAGATTTGCCAGAGGATCAACCTAGTTTTCTTCTGGACATAGGGTACTGCAATATAATTCTTATGTAAATTATATATGACTATTTAAGCATGTAAATAGTTTATTTGACAGTTGCCTTCTCTAGGAGTGGGTAAAGCTTTTACTGCATGTTCAAATTTTTTTGTTTTACTTTTTTTTTTGCTAAAATAAATTATTACAGCTGATCTTAACATGACTTTGACTCATTTTATGTTTTTGGAACATTTACTCAATTTCCTAGCTTTGGTTTAGTATATCATCAGATGTTGTAGCACTTGGAGCTGTAATCAATGTATTATTTAGAGTAATTTGCATCAACCATTTTAATAGTGTGTCCCTTCACTTCATTTTCCATGTCACTTCTTCCTCTCATGGTAAATACATTAATATAAAGTGTTTTATTTCTTTCCTTTCTTCTTTTGTAGCTGTGGATCTGGTTTAAGTGGTGAAGTGTTGACAGAGCTGGGTCATCAGTGGGTTGGCTTAGATATCAGTCCAGCAATGCTTGGTAAACATGATTGATAAGGACAGAACCACTTAAATTTTGTTATCCAAAGGGTGTTTGTTTGTTTGATTGTTTTATTTTTTGCATGTCAATGCATACTTTGAGTTTCCTAGTAGGTTTATTTGCAATTCTTCTCTCTCACAAGCAGCTACAGAAATCTTCAATTTGCTTCTCAGAAAACTTATGTGATGGAGCACACTTACAATGTAAATGTAGCAAGATAATGTCCCGTTTGAATCTCCATCTACTTAACAAATAGATTCCAAGTTGCCGTGCGTCTGTTCAGTAATAGATCACAGAGGATGTCAAACTGTGGTAAGAACAAAAAAGTGGCACATGAGGCGCAGCCGAGTGTGTCACTGATGTTCTTACCACATTTTGACGTCCTCTGTGATCTATTACTGAACAGACGCACAGCAACTTGGAATCTATTTGTTTTATATAATTAAGAATTTAAAAAAGTTTTAATGATGACGTCATCTATATGTCTGTCCTCCAATAGATCATAAGTGAGAACCAATCAAAACGTGTGCATAACTGAGCTTATTATATAAAAGACAGTATATCCTAATGACTTCTTTTTTAAATTAAATTACTGAGTATTTAATTTTTGAGTATAAAGTGGTGGATATTTTTCACTTAATTTTGTCAGATGTAGCAGTTGAAAGAGAAGTAGAAGGAGATCTGTTTCTTCATGACATAGGACAGGGTCTTTGTTTCAAACCTGGAACATTTGATGGATGCATAAGGTTTGGTCATAGCTTATGGTTTATTGCTTGGTCACCACTGAGAAACCCTTTGCACCCTAACATCAGTGTTCATATTCTCCATACTGTTCTCTGTACATTGACTAAGGTGCTGACAAGGAGAATTTGTTTAAACATTGTGAACTTCTTCAGTTGGTGATCATTTCCTTTATTTTTATTGCATTGTGTTTGGTTTATGGGTGATTTTATTTTAAGGTGAAATTGGATGCTAGTCACTCTTATGGGTTAAATGGTTAAAGCAGCATCTACAGAATGTACTTGTTGCGACTCAAGCAGTGACAAGAATGATTTTTGTCTGTTATAATGTAGTTATCAATCTGTATCATCATTAGCTGGGTTTTTATTTTTACTTTTCAATGTTACTTCATAGAATAGTGCAGTACTCTGGTAGATGCTTCAATCTTTTAACTCCCAAGATCTGGTCATTAATTATCCCCTCCAGCTGCTACACATTTCCCTGTAAATTATTTATAAGAAGTTGATGTTAGATCAAGAAAACAACTTTTACCTGATAAGTTTGAGCATTCACATTACCAGTTTGTTGGATTATGTATGGATGTTTTAGGGAGAAGTTACATGTTGATCACATCTGGGAGTTTAAGGGTTAATTGGCTAAGGAAAGATTCAATAACTGTTGTAACTTACTGTATCATGAGCTTTGTGAACCCAAATATTCTTTGCTGGCCCATTAGCGACCTTAAGTGTCACCAATGCTCAAAAGACTACAGTGATATAAAATGTAATATCATTTGTCTTTTTTTTCCCCTTAAAGCATATCTGCTCTTCAGTGGCTTTGTAATGCTGACAAAAAGGGACACAATCCTGCTAAAAGGCTCTACAAATTTTTCAGTTCACTTTACAGTTCAATGGTGAGTTTGAAAAAGTTTATATCCCACCATAATTTTGTTTGTTTATCTCGCTTAGCATTTGAGCCAGTACTTCAAACTTAACCTCTGATCTGAAGACACTCACAGTAACAAAAAAAATTACCATCCCCATGAGTTTATTCTGTATGACTGTCAATCCAGTGATGATTGAGTTAAAAGGTGTTAGGAAGAATATCTTACTGAGGGTCACAAGAACAGTTTACCACATTTTGCAACCATTAGTATTGGTCAGATGTCATTAAGAAATATATTTAAAATAAGGTGAATCAGGAATTAATCAGATTCAGTAGCCTCATGCATGAAGACAGGAATTAATCAGAGTCAGCAGCCTCATGCATGAAGACTCTGGCTTATATTTTTACTGATGTCTTTTCTACAGTATCTGTTTTTTTTTTAATGTATGCAGAGTCGGGGAAGTAGAGCAGTTTTCCAGTTCTATCCAGAAAACCCTCAACAGGTATTTTGAGCACATTTGCCTTATCTCAAGCCACAGGGCTGAGAGGGGCCTTTTAATTTGTGAGAATTTCTGTTAGATCAAGACAACAACTTCTACAGATAAGTTTGAGTATTCTCACTACGTGTTTGCTGGATAATGTATGGATAGTATAGGGAGAAGTTACATGTTAATCATTTCTGGGAGTCAAAGGATCAACAATCTGTTACATTCTAGCTGAAATGTAAAAATATTTTGGTCCTTTTGTTGCACAGATCATTTCATGCACTTGTAATTTTGGTGTGTGTATAGGTTGAGTTGATTACAACACAGGCCATGAAAGCAGGATTTACAGGAGGTTTAGTGGTTGACTATCCTAACAGTACTAGAGCTAAGAAGTGAGTAAATACTGTGCAAATTATTCTTGTATGCATGGGCTAAGTGATGCTTTCTTTATAATTTAATTGTGATCTTGCAATTTCCAAGGCCAACTATTGTTACAATAAAGAGTTTCGAAAGCTGTCATTTGGAGCATGGGCCCTTAATCATCAGAGCTAATGCTTTATAGGTCAGTTTTCTAAACTCTTGAAAGTGGCCAGTTTACATTATCAACTTGGTTGATAAAACCAACTATTACCACTTTATTGGCATAGCCCCACCAATGCAGCACCACAGTTTCTTTAGAAATTCAACCCCTTCTTCCAACTGATTTTTCAGAATATTCCTGTGTCTTTTTGCTGGTGTAGTTGTGGACAAACTTCCAAAGGTACATTAGTTGTTTTTTGTCGAAATTGACTGATCTCACTGGTGACTATTTATGGATAATTATGTCAGATTTACCTTCTACCTGAATCCTTAGTTTGACAAGTTGAGATCCATATTTAGTTTTTGTTGACAGTTTACAATTAATGAATGTGGTGGTGGATTCAGTGTCATCAGTGTGATGATAAGTACTGTACTTACTTTATTTGTTTTCAGATTTACATTTTGAAACCTTTGTAAATATGTATCTATTTGTAAATTTGAAGTGGTTAGTGTTTAGTGGTTAGGCATTTGATGTTAACTTTATAGGCTTGTGTAAGCACATCAAATTAATCAATTTCTTGATTTTGATAGGGCCTTGGCACTGAGGATTCCAAATCTGTTGAGGAGAGTGTTCAATTTAGTGGGAAAAGGTACAAATTGAACTTGATACTATTCCTATCCACTTGAAATTGAAGATACTTTCCAATATTCAGAGCTGACTGGAAAAAAAAGGTCGCTTGCAGCTGCGATTTCCTTTATTGATCAGAATTGTCCAACCAAATCTGTCAATCTTCAAGTTTTAACTACTATTATTGTGATGGTATTTGTATCAAGAAAAAAAATCCCATTGAGTTTCAACAATAATTTATGTGGTCAGCTGGTTAGGACAAATGGAATTTACCCCAAGGGATTTTGGCTACCGTTTCTAAAACTCCAATCTCATGTTGATATCTACATGTATATACCTGGTATGGAGAATTATTCATCTTGCTTTCTTGTAAAATGATAAGCTTCTGCAAACCAAACTGCTTTGAGAAGATGTGGTCCCTTAACTTGGGTCTGCAGATTATGACCTCACAAGAGAATAGCAAGGTTGTGTTTCAGTTTCTCAGTTAAAGAAATTGTACAGTCATACTTAAATACTCAACTTAGAGGCTGCCAAATGCTGATGTTGACCAATGCATATGAAAATATCAACTTATGGGTGCTTGAGATTCTCCAAACATTTTCAGTAGCTTCTGAAATGTTGTCCAACTTTGGATATGTTTGAAAACTAGGTAAGGTTTGGGGATCCCAGCTAATAATTTTCAGCCATGTTCCACAGACTGTGACTGTGTTTGGTCCATTTTAAGCTGTAGTAATTGCATTTGTTGCACAAAAGACAAAACAATCATTAGATTGAGTTTTATTGCTTTGTATTAGAGAGAGAACAAAAGTACCACGAGGAAAATCAATAAAAAAGAGCAAGGACTGGGTAAAAGAAAAGAAGGACAGGAGAAGACGACAGGGAAAGTAAGGAGATTTGCAAAATCAATCACTGG